CTCGCTCTGAAGTCGTCGAAATCCAGCGCTTGGGCAGCATCTGACACCAACAGCAACATTAGCATGATATGTGGGGTTGCCATTGGCAGTGTCAGGGGCAATCGGGACAAGACCGAAAGTTAAGCTGCCGGAAGTTGGAGTAGGGCTGGTGGGAGAGGTGGTGGATGGTTCCAACAAACAACCCCAACCTTGACCCGGGAGAGCGGTGTTCAGATCACAAAAGATTATAGAGCCAAACCCTGTTGATTTTCCTAAACCCAACCATGTGTGTTTGGTTTTGAAGGAAAAAAATGTAAATTTGCGGTGTTGTACCGATGTAGTGCATTTATTTTGAAAGAGACAGTATGTAAACGTTAAATTTCCTGTGAAAACTGAAGTGTATTTTGAAAAAAAAACAAACAAACAATGCATGCAGAATTCGACACGGCATCCCAGAATGTCAACAACCAGTGCGCCCAGGGTACCTTGCATGTCTTATCTAGACGTGGAAGGTCCATGACCAAGCGTTGTTTTGTGGCAAGGTTGGAGTGAGAATGTGTTGAAATGCTTCATTTAATGTTGAGATAGTCTAGAAGTTCTTGCATCAACATTGTTATCTACTAGATTTATGTAAAATCATGTAAATGATCATCTGTACTATTTGTTTGCACCATGCTTGTACCAGCATTAGCAACATTACAATTCTGCTTTAAACTTCCTGGGTTGGCTGCAGTTGTCAGCTGAGAGACAAACACAAACCCTTGAGCCCATCTGACCTGCGTTTTCCACCATTTCTGGCCAGATCACCAATTACACAACTCCTTCTCTGCTGGCTGCGTCCCCAGATGTTTTAGCACAGAATGTGCTGAAACCCTTTTGTTTGTGTTTGGATCTGCAGCTCAGAGACTGTAAGTCGAAGATCAATCACATTTAGTGGATGTGTTTCAAGTCCTCCACCTCTCTGGGAAAAAAATCAAAGCAGCTGGTTACATATTAATGCTACTGTATATTAAGTCATGTCTTGGTTTTTAACCCTGGTTTTAATAATTACATCTGTTTGGCTGTTAAACTGGCTGACCGTTTGTATTAGGAAGGTTCCAGGAGTGAGGATGTGTTACTGCGTGTGCAAAGCATGGAGGTGCTGAAAAATAATATTAGCACTCAGTAAATCTACCTGGAGTAAATAAAGGTATAAATAAAATATCCAAACTGCATAGCAATGGTGCACAATTTAAGCTTACGGCAAGACAAGCAAACAGGAAGTGAGGCATATTTCCTTAACACTTAATAAGGTCCCCAGCTAGCTGTTACTGTACTTTCTCAGTACACTTTGTGGGGGTAGATGGCACAATCGTTATGGTGTATGTAAACAGCAGAAGCTTGGCCTTGATGTTGGTTGTACAGAGTCGACTGTTTTCACTGTTCTGTACCTGATAGTATCCAAAAGTTGTTTTTAAATGAGAGAAACTTAACTGGATTTTAGAGGAATTTGTATGTCAAAGAAACAATTTGTGAGGTATAATAATACTATGTGTCAGTGTATTACAGTCAGATTGGTTAATTTATATAACACCTACGGTGTGGCAATGAAAACATGTCAGTTTCAGATTCAGTCGGGCCGGGTTTTAAAATCACAAAATGTAGAAAGGCAAGATGTTTTCAGATGTCTATTCAAGACCTCTTTTAAGATTTTGGCATTGACCCAAATGAAAATCTTTTTAAATGAAGAATATTTTGGTCACATAACTGACCCAGGCACATCATAAAGTACAGAAACAGAATAAAAAAGAGCTATCAATGCAACCAATAACACTCTTTGTCTCTCTCCACCAGTATCTCCCTCCTCTGTCGTCTATAGCCCCATTTCCCTGCTAACATCTGGCTTTTTAATGAAATGGGAGAGGTTGTAATTGGCATTCACACCAGGGTCAAATGACTCAGCAGTAGTCACGAACACTTAACAGCTTCGGCTCTGATCGGCACTTCTGGAAACACAACACCACGTTAATTTTAGCCCTTTTACCGGTGAGATGCAGCGATGCCTGCGCCGAGTTTGAAAGAGAGACGGAATAAGGAAGAGATACACATTTTCACAGGCCCCTATGCTGCTTTCTACTGTTTACTAACCTGTTTTCCAGCCTGTCTGTGACATCGAATGTGACATACAGCTCTGGTGTACTGGCAATGAGAAAGGAGTCTGTAGCCTATTTGTAACAGGTTATGGGTGTTGAAAAAAACCACGTACACATGCTAATTGTGGTGGTAAATGGGTATGTCTCCCACAATGTTTTCCATCGAGGTCAAGGAAAAGTGTTTAGGAAAAGACATGAAATTTCTTTTAATTTGACTGCAGCCCAGACAAAGCGTGGTTGGAGCTGTGTCACATGAGAAAACGCTGACTTTTGGAAGATATGATTAATGGTGGTTCCATATTAATCCGTACATCCTGCACAATCAGCTGTGCACATGTGTACTTTGAGACACTATATGTAGTTGACATATTTTGTCATACTGGTGTATCAGATGTATGTATGCTGGGGATTGCCACTTGAACAGGCCTGATGTAGAGCATTATAACAAGTAAAGTAAAAAGAACATATTGAATGGAAATGAGATGGATGATCAGAGATAGGAAAACAGGATACAAAAGTTTTGTTTGTTTCTGATTGATTTGTTTCATTTGTGGTTGATTGATTTGATCGAGGTGTGGTGAACACTTGGGTGGAAAGTGGGATATTAGTTATAGTTAAACTGGAGTTATGGTTAATTGATTAAATATAAAAAAGGGGCAGGACTTGATAAGTGTTCAATTCTTCTGACTCCTTTTCAGACATGAAATACTTGTGTTGTTTACTGAATATTTTTGCTGGGTATTCTCGTTTTTTTTTTCTCACTTTTATATGTGTTATCTTTATTTTTAAGCATGTTTGCATTAAAAATCTGACAAATAAATGTAATAAATCTGTACCGATTGTAGAAAATGAGTCCCAACAAAGGGTGTTGACAGTACTCTGAATAAACAGGACATAGTGTCTGAAGGCACTTTGCTGTAGAGTTTCCTAAAGTGAATTTTCAATGCTTTGTGAACAACAAATTAAATTCCATTTCCTTCCCTTGTATCGGGGGCGACAGCAGAAGTGTAAATGACAGATATCTCAACACGTCAGCAGATAAAACCAGAGCTATTTGCAAAATATGACAAATATGTTTTAGTTGAATTTCTTCTATTTTAATGCCTTTTAGTTATTTCAGGGCTAGAGCTAACAATTACCTTTTATTGCTGATTCATGTATTGAATTTGTACTTAATTTTATTGATTGATTATTCAGGCCAACGTCAAAAAAATGTCAAATGTCTTGATTTATTTAACCAAAGATATTCAATTAATGGTGAGAAAATGGGGATAAGCAGCAGATCGTCACATTGTAAAAGCTAAAAACTGAAATATTTGGTTAATCAATCATCAAAATTGTGGGATATTAATACTCCATTTGTCAGTTGTTTCAGATCAGTTCAATTTATTCACAAAAAAATACAAGTGCAGTTCATGAGGCATAATGGAGATATGTGATATAGGATGCCCTGATGAGCTCTCTGAAGCTTGAGAACAAAAACCCAGTCACTAAGCAGTATTTAAAATATGTTTACTATCGTGTTATCTAGATTAAAATAATACATTTATTAAACAATAGCATTTACAACCTGTGACACACCTAAGAGCTGAGTTTCTGATGTCCTTACATAATTAATTGTTCACATTGTTGCACAAAAAATAGGTTCATCACATTATTTTTATGTCCTTTTTTGTAAAGTTTTAATACCAAGTGCACACATTTCCACATTTAACTGACAGTAATAAAAGGATTCTTTGTCTGTGGTAATGTAAAGTAAACAGTGGTGCTCGGTGCTCAACGCTAAAACTGCTAATTAAAAGTGGGAAGTAAATCAGTTTGAGAGGTAAACACATTAAAATGACTCAGTAATTGAGACTGCAGATTGACTAGAATCAGAGTGTCAGACTGCTTGAAACGACACCAAAATAGAGCTCGTTCATCAGCATCATCTCCCTGGAGGGACATGTCCCCAGCACCCCGGCTGCTGGTTACTTTTCCTCCGCGCCCGGCTACTCGCTGTGCTTGTGGAAAATACAGCGCCTCTGAAAATAGGGAGCATATGCTACAACAAGGAACGCCACTTCAAACAATACTTGTTCCTTAACATTAGCACGGCGTAAAGAAACTGAAGTGAAGTTGAGAAAAGACTTAGTTGTCAGTTGCATGTTCTCAAAACATTGCACTTGCAAAAAGAAAAAAAAAAAAAAAAGTGTGAAGGAGGCATGGATAACAATCCCAAACTGGCGCCCACCAGTAATTATGATGTGGGTACAAAGAGATTTTTGCCATTCTAAAGGGAGAAGGGGAGTGTAGGTGTATTAATTCCTATTCCTTCCTGCTTCCTCGACTTGGAAGTTCAGATTTAGAAAAATAGACCCCCCTCCCTCAAAAGAAAAGAAAAAACAAGAACTGTCACATTGACTGACGCCGGTCGTATGTAGCATCTGTGTTCCCACCACTGCTCCCTATAGTATATGCCACACTGTGGCAATGTGGGAAACTGACAATGTCAATTTATCAGAACAAAAGAATTCCTCAGCAAGAGGAATACACATCTTTGGGCCCTGGAGACAAAAATCATTCCACCCCCACCCTTACCTGTATCTAAACAGAATGTAGGACATTCACAACACCAGAAATAGAAATTTCACTCACAATTATCATTTTTGAATGTATCCCCTGCAGTCAAAAGTTAGGCTTTCACTTTAGGAGTTAGAGCTGCACTTTAATGCTAACTTTCTTAAAGTAAACAGTTGAATAAAAGGCACAGAGATGAGCAGCGTCTGCAACCGAACATCGGACAGTTTAAATGAACCGATGTGGATCCATTCTGCCCTAAATGTTTCTTTCTTTGTGAAACTCATTTTACATTTCAGAGCCGTATAATTATGTCGTGTTTCTTTTCAGGTGTCTGATCCTGTCGTCCCCACCATCGCTTAGTGTTAAAATTTGGGTGAGTACTCGACCTAATTTCTCCCTCCTTTCCACAACAGTACAATATATTCACAGACAATGAGCACTCATGCTATTTACTTTACATTGTTTCCCTGTAGACGACATTAATGCGTATTTTACTGAACAAAAGAAGCGCTGCAGATGAAGTGGTAACGAGTTAAGAAATGTCTTCACACGTACAGTCACATACATCTTTTTTTTTGGGCCATCTCTCATGCACATCTTTGACATTTGGTTAAATAACTAAATGTGTGAATAATGATCCAGTTCTTTATTCTGACTCTCCGTACTTTGATCTACAGGCGTCATTTATGCTTTTAACAGGTCACAAAGTCATTATACTTCTGTGCGTTCATTGATCAGCAACTCCTTCTGCATACTCTCAGCTATAGAAGCCATTCAAAATTCAGAAAGTTAAATTTTCACAATTTAGACATTTATGCTTGTATTGAACTGTTTTTTATTTTATGCTTTATAAAGTACAAAGCACTTCTTCTTTCAGCCTTTTAGTGAATTTCAACGTCCACCTTTGACAGTATTCCAGTTTAGCTTTCAGCTTTTCAGCTCTTAGCTTCTTCAGGTTCAGCTTCCAACCCTGCCAGTTTTTAAATACAGTTTCCGAGTTTTTCAGCAGTGCAGTTCACATGCATTGTCTGCAGGAAATGCATTTTTGTAAATCATTTTGTATCGCCAAAGATTTTAACCACTCCACCTCTCCTACATTTTTCTTCAGCTTTCTTGAGAAACAAAATGCTAAAAAAAATACATATATTTTTTTTTAACATTGTAGGGATGTTAATATTTATGTTTTTATCCCCTTTAGATTGACAAATTGGAAAATAAGCCATGAAGTGCAACTTAAATATATTGCTTTGACTCAGGGCACCTCGCAGACATTTAGCCAGAGCCGAATAATTCTGTCCCACAGTTTTCTTACGAATGTAAATATTGTTATGATTCAAACACATTTTTTTTAAAACCATTTCAACACGGCTCAAGATATTATTGTCCGGCTCAAACATTTTGATGTACTGAACAGGAAATTTGCCCTGAATTTAAAATGCACATATGTGCTGTGGAAGCGCACGAGTTATACTACAAGTATGTTATACAAAACTGTCTAACTATAGTTATGATATTTAAATACGAAAACCTTTATTCACAGACAATGTATTTGTATTTCACCTCCTAATTCATATAATTATATAAGTTTTTTATTCTATACATGTAACAAAAGGGAAATTCAACATGTAGCTGTCCAATCCATCAAACATTTTGCATCCATATTAGTTATTGACGGTTTAAATTCCCCTGCCTCGTCAGTGCATTTGCGTCATAGAAAGTTGGCTTAAGGGCTGGAGGTTGTCGTGGTGATGTACACTAAGTGCTCCCGTGATACATTCATAATTTATTTAATTAGCCCTGGTTATGAGGAAAAACAAGCCACGTGTTTCAGACAGTAAATGTGGGATACAAACTGCACCTCTCTCGATCAAATAAAGCTTTGTCCGCTTTGATGTTTAGCCCTCAGATAGACGTCAGTCACATTTCTACAGCTAAGTGTTCCCACGGTCCCGCTGAAGTTCCCTCCGGCACAGGAATTGATTGATTACTTTGTGGATGTTTTAACTCATTGACTGTCATGGCGTCAAGACTTGATGGATGTGCATCATCAGGCTCCCCGTGGTGATTTGGCGTAGCGGCCAGAGTCGAAAATACAGGTCATGTGACGCGTTGTGGTCCACAGAGGCTGGCTGTAAAACAATTATGGAAATTTAGTGAGCTCGGATATTTTGCTCTGGGCTTCAGGAAAACCCGAGCAAGTATAAATTCAGCTTTGATGTAAAAAACATGACTTCCTACTGAAAGGAAAGATCTTGATCTTCGTATTAGTCAACATTTGCAGGCCTTTAAATATTCTTTTTCTGAGTCCATGAACTGGTACATCTAACTTTTAAAATTACATTCACCATTTTTTTTTAACTGCACCATCTGGTCCTTACGTGGCACCGAAATTTCAGCAAACCTCTGAGGGTAAAAAAAATATTACATTGTGTTACAAATAGGGCTGTCAAGAGAAAATATTCATATATTTAATAATATTAATATATTTATATTTAATTGCAATTGATCACAGATTAATTGCACTTTTTTTTATCTGTACTAAGTTATTTTTTTTTTTAAGTTTTTTAAACTCTTATCAACATGGGAGTGGACAAATATGCTTTCACACAATGTAGTGTCCAACTTTACACTTGTAAAGGTGAACTCAGTTCACATTGACAGTAAATGCAAATAACTTTGGTCTTGTTGAGAGAGCCATGTGGCAGAGCTTTGAAACTGAACTTGCCATTCAAAGGACACCTTGCTTCATCCATTTCTGCACACAGAGGTTTGTCTCTGCCTTCCATCCATAATATTACTGCTGCATCGCTTCCTCACTTACCAAAGGGATGGGCCAAGGGTCAGAATCATAGAAGGTACATGCGTGAATCGGGCCTCAAGTAAGTGGCGTTACAAGGAATTTGCGTTAACTTGCTATTAAAGCGTCAACTTTGACAGCCCTAGTTACAGTATAATTTGAGTTGACGGTCTTTTATTTTCCATATTAGGACCTCTTGGTGGCATCACATGTTTAATAAGACTAAAATATGTATAATAAATTACTTGATATATGTGTAATAAAGTCTTTCTTCGTCCTTGTTGGCTGCTCCAAGTACAGGTACCGTAACATCCCTAATAGACGTGCATCAAAATCCAAGCAGCAGCTGGGCCGACTGCAGTGTTGTACGCGGTGCTGCTCTGTCTTGTCTGTCGATCAGTGTCAGTGTCCTCTTTTTACAGCGTGATATTACAATTCCTAGATTTGTTTTTCACTGCGTGAGAAAATAGACATGTGGCATTAGTGCGTGTGAAAAGTGTCAGTTGTGTGTTTCATGGTCAATGCGTGAGAGTTGGGAGCAACATGCACATTTTTTCGGTACCAAGTGCATTTAGAGCTGAGAGTTACGTGCACAGCTTAAATTTTACATACACTACTGTACATATTCACCTGGTATTTGATTCAAATAGTCACTCTAAATTGATATGAACAGTCGTCAGTCACTTCCTGGATCGTGTTAAGATAACGTGCTGTCAGCAGCAACTCAAATCTGGGAGACTACTAACATCGTTAGGTTTGCAAATAAAAATGGAAATACCTGTTACTTAAGAAGTAAAGCTTGAAGACCTTATTGCTGCATATTAAGTCTGCGTTTGGTGCATGAGTTAAGCCTACAGCAATCCTTAGTCTTTTCCTCCTGATTAGCCAGCTCTTTGTTGGCATTATTTCTGATAAGCTGCTGAGAACTCCCTTAACTGCCAGATCAAAATCGTGTTTGCATGTCCTGATAACACTAATGACCCTCGCTGTAATTGATTTAAGATACAGTTTCATCAGTGTTTTAGTCATGCTTGGGAGGTTTTAATATTCACAGACACGTATAGACTTCAGTTTTGTTTTTTTAGTCCTGTAACTTTAATGTATGTCTTTAGATTAACTGCACTCATCATCACCATCATGTGTCTGCATCCTCACTTTTAAGTGGCTTCAAACATAGAGGGAAAGGAAATATGCAGGAAATACTGTATATTGCACAAACTGTACATGCAGACATCGAAATTAGCGAGCTCTGAGGTGTCTGTGTTTAGCAAAGCGTGCACAGTGGTTGAATACCAAAATTTGATATATTTTTGAAACAGATGGCAAGGTGCTCATATGGGAACCTGAGCTCTTCTTCACTGAATATGAAAATGTTGAACAGGTGGTCCAGGAAGCTTCCTCTCCCCGCTACGGCTTTCATTAACACACTTTTATTCTTCTAGTAATAATAAGCTTACTTGTGCCCTGAGATATAGGGCAGACAAAAGAGCTGCTGCTTTTTTTTTTTTCTTACAGGCGAAAAACTGGCAAAACTGTGGCCTTGTTATGTATTATTAGACACAACCCTCTCCACCAACAACACCACAAACCATAAAAGACACTTGCCCGGTGTGAGCGTGTTTTATGATCTGATTGGTGTCCAAAACTCTGTGTTTATTAGAGCACAGGGTTGTTTTGTGATCGTGCTTCAGCTCCTTTTCAGTGGCTGTGTGAGACCACTTTGCAGTTCTATTCGAATATATTTAAGTCTGTATCTCAGGAAGTTGTCTGTACCAATATTAACAATAAACTGAGTAACAAGGCTTCAGCCATTGTGCCTTATTGTGACAATGAACTCTGATGTCCCGACACTGTGACATCCTCCTGAAATAAAGGGCAGACACAGTGCCGTCAGCAGATTTCTTATTTTTAGATTTTACCAGCTACATTGACATTTGTCGTTTCAGCTCACCTACAAAATTAAACTGTTGGCAGTAAAAAGCCATGCAAGCCAGCACCTGTCCGTACATTCAGGCCAACAATTTATTGTAGGGCCGGGTGAAAAGTTACAATTTTCCAATTAGCCACCATTAGCTCTTCAACTGGTGTTTGCTCTCTTTGCTTTTCTAGTCTAATAAATAATCAAATAAACTCACAAAATGACAAAAAAGGAAATGTTCTCATATGTATTTCCCTTTTTACACTAAAAAAAATTAAACTGTGCACCCTCTGAAATCAAGTTTCTCTCTTTCACTGAACTAAGACGAGCCTAATTGATTTTTTTCATCTATGTTTTAATAATTTCTTAAACATTATGATTTCCTTAGAGTTATTCAGAATTAAATTAGTGTATGTTTATTATAATATGTCCAACTGACATTTTTTGGATTATATTAATATAATTTTTAGCTCACCTTTTCTGTTCTGGACATTTCAGAGGTTGTTGAAAGAGAGTTTTAGATTTAATAGGAGATAAAAAAGCTATTTATTAAGTCAAGTTCAAATATTCAGTCAGTTATTTGTTCCTTTAGTTACTCCAGAAACCTAAAGAGACATTTAAGCAGAAGCAAAGAGAAATGTGAGCGATTATAAAATGA